ATACTTTCAATATGATGATTGTTGAACAATATCAAAATGGATTATATTATTTCCTTTTTGTTTATTTGGAGATTTCTTCATACAATGCATCTTCCAATTCATGATAAGATTTGACTACAAAAAAAAAAAAAAAAAAACAGAAGACTGTTATGCAATAATTGCATAACACATATTTACTAGTTTAAGAAATAATTATAAATTACATATATTAGACTTATTTACTTATACTGAAAGGCATTTTTTAAACATTCCTTCTTCCATAAATTCATTGAACTAATTATACGACATTTGGCAAATTAATAAAAACAATAATAATCCTATAAATAAAAAGTAATTAAGGTATCTACTAGTTATTATAAAAAATATTAACAAAATCAAAATGTAACATTAGTGTTTTACCTTTAGTGTTCTTCTTTCTTTTGCAGTTAGTTATATGGTTAATATAGTTAATATGGTGAAGTAAAATGATTGATGACTGTTTGTTTAACTTGCTATAACAATAGCGTTAGTAATCAACTTGGTTCATGTGAAAAATATTTCGTGTGTGACAAAATAATTTCGTTTCACAATCATATATTATGTCGTGTGTGAATGGGCATTTTAGATGTCGTACGACATAACAGTACGGAAAATGGCTCATGAGTGATTTTCCTAAAAAGATTCAAGAATCGACCCACTGCTCACCGCTCAGCAGTCCCGTAATAATTCCGGGTACGGTCGCAATTGGAGCCGTTCGAAAGGCTGCATGTTACTTGCGTCCCAAAAAAAGATATATTTTTCAGGTAGTAATTTGACCGGTAAATTGCGTCCCGTTTTGGGGACGCAAGTCAGCCATATAATTATTATCGATATTATCTTCTAAAATCATTAAAATCGATAGTATCGTGTCACTAAAATCGATAGTTCATAAACTGTACCGTATACAATATGTGTGTGAGTGCGTGCGTTACTTACTTACAATGTAGATACAATTTATCTATGATAGGTACAATATGATAGTATATTCTATTAATAACTTAAGTGGGTATTATTTTATGTGAAAAGATATGGGAACATGTATACATCTTGTTGGTTGTTAGATTCGATAAGATAAAGCAATTACGTCGATAATTTTTTTTTTACTCGCATTATATTTTCACATTTTACTTTTATTCAGTACGATTCGTCTTATTAGACCAATAGTTGTGAAATAACCACTCATTAAATTAAAAAAATTTAAATAAGTTAATTTAATAACATACGATTTTTTTTTAAGGTATAGAAAAAATGTGTAGCTCTAAATTGGTCGCGAATAATGGTTTTAAAATAATTGATGGTTATAAGTTCGGATATCATAAAATGTTATGTAATAACAATTTTCGATGGAAGAGCACGAATAAAAGCTGTAAAAGCTATATGAAGCTATATGTTCATCAAAATGTAATAAGTAATCCTACTTCACATACTCCATATCACACTCCAGACGACATCACTCTATATTATTATTATTACTACCATGACAAAATATAAAACATATGAATTTGTAATTTTATAAGTTTGAATTTTAAAAAAAAGCGTGAAAATTGAATATATACTCCTGAAGTTGAAAAATATTCGTTCAACTTTTATAGTTTAGGATTGAAATATACTTAGTAATATCATAGGCTGATTGACCGTTTTCGCTCACAATAGTTTTTTTTATACTTTTTTTTTTACATTTTTTATCGACTATATCGATATTTTTGGGACTCAATTAAGTCATAAAAAAAGGTGTACTGGGACGCAAATCGGCTATGACCTTTTTGAACCTTTTTTTTGCGGGACGCAACTCACCTACTGATAATAATTTCGGACGCAAGTAGTATGCTCCCGTCAGAAGCAAATCTACCCTGTCGAACGTCTGACCCTGCGACTTGTTGATGGTAATGGCCAACGACAACCTCACCAGAAATTGAGTGCGTCGCATTGGAATCTTATTTAGATCATATACAATGGATAGAGCCATGACCTATAGATTACATATAACATCGATGATGTACAAACCATTTATTCGTATTTCTTATCAAAAGATAATAATCTATTATGTCATGTTACATTATACAGATTTCAACTTATTACCAATTCAATAAATTCGAGTTAATTAATTAAAATGTTTATTATTAATTAATAATTAGTAGTAAAGTTAATTGTTAAACTATTAAAAAGTATTTAAAATAAATTGCCAGTCTATTTAAATTAGTTAAAATAAATGAATACCTAATTAAAAATAATAAATGTAAAAGTAAAACTACATATTCATAGTATAAAATAATAAAAAATAATATTTTTATGAATTATATTATAAATATATTTAAAAAAATTGGATATATTATTATCAGCTATTGATTTTTAAATAATATTAGTTTTGTATAATTTTTCCTTATGTTTTTCCCTGTGATTTGTTGCGTATGTAATTTTACATAGTGGTGCATCCTTAAATCTATATAATATTCAAGTATAAGTTTAATTAATTGTATCCTATGGTTGTCAAAAATGTCTTGAGTAAGAATATGATAAGAAGAATATGATAAGAATATGATATGAATAGTAAGAATTGTTTGTGTGTTGAATATCGAAGAGTCTGTACTAAGTTCATTTAATGATTGTACACATAATTTTTGCTTTATATTTTTATCTGATAGTAAAATGCTTGTATTAAGTCTCAATATGTATTCGGCAGTCAAACATATTTTATTTACATCCGACGATGAATTTATTAATTTGCCCTTTGATTTTATTTTTAATAATAATGATGTATCTAAATCTATTTTTTGTGGTAAATGTAAGTCACATATTTTACAAAGATTTTTATTTTTTTTAATTTTAGAAACAATAAAACCAGAAGTGGATTTAACAATATCAACCACATATTCTTCCAGTACCGGTAGGTGCTTATAATAATCATGATCAACTTCATCAAATAAGGCTACATTTTCATTGTTGTCTGTATTTACATCACAAATTGCATCTGCGTCCTTTCTCATTGCAGTGCCTACAAACAAAATACTACAGGTATCGAGTACTGAACAATTTCCATATTCTGATGATTTTATTTCATGTCTTACTAGAAGACGTTTGTATGCTGTTTTAAACTGAACTGAATTTGGATTATTGTTGTATCCTCCACGACTTCGCATCGCACTAAAAAAAAACTTCCAAATGGTCTTGGCTTAATTTATACCCAAGTATGTAACTCATCTCGTAACGCTTGACCACCTCAAACAAATTTATCAAATTAGTGATACTACCGTCAATTTTATATTTGGTTTTGAACACCCATGCATTTCGTAATGCAACTTTATCCTGTGGTAAATCGACTAGAGTCCAAGTCTGATTTTCGTGTAATGAATTAATTTCGTCGTTCATAGCATTATTCCATTCATTTTTGTTTGACCCAGTAATTGCCTCATCATAATTCAATGGACTGACACAGTTAGCAATAAAAGTCTGAACATTATACCTGTCCGGCTTCTTAAGTGTTATTACAGTTTCTTTTATAATGACCAATTTTACCACAGTAATAACATTTAACATTACTTTTATTAGTAAATTGTTTTTTACCTTTACCATAACTGCCGTTTTTTCCATCGGATCTGTTTTGAAATTTGGCTGGAAATGCACTCGATTTCTCTTGTTCACCAACTTCACCTTTGATCTGGATAACCCGTGATTCTTCAATCAACAATCGACTAGTCAAATTATTTATATTTTTACTTCCCGTTGGGACTGAATCCCAAGCACTGTAAAAATGATTATATTCTTTTGGTAATGTCATTAGTATTTTTGTCATAACCATGTTATCCGTAACTGGTTCACCCGCTACTCTCAGTTTCCTTCCTAAATTGACCAATTTAGAAATATGCGTCGACATGTCATCTGTCGACTCCTTTGAATAACTGAAAAATTGTTGTTGAAGCAAATGTATACTTGCCTCAGACTTCTGCTCGTAAATACTCAGCAGTTTCTCCCACATTTCTAATGCAGTCTCACAGTTAATCAAATATTGTAATGGACCATCGTCCACTGAGGTAACTATTATTTTCTGACATTTACCGTCCGCTTTTTGCCAAGCGTTTGTATGCCTTTGCCAACGTGCTTTGGCATCCTCGTCGGTCTCTCCTGCCGACTTTTTTATAGGTAGACTTGGTTTCGTACATTCACCTGAAACTATCTCACCTACTTCCAAGGCATTTAGAATGACCTTCATCTGGAATTTCCATAACGACCAGTTTTCCGCACATAATTTTGTTATCTTCACCGTGTCTTCCATGACCGATGATTTCCCGTATACTTGACCTGTATAACAATTTATAACAAAACTTTACCTATGTACACTGTTCCGCCGTTTTTCCGAAATCCAGGATATCTCCGACTGGTTGTAGTTTTCTGCGTTAATACAAATATAAAAATACTTCGATCACGAATCCACTAGACTGTTTGTCTTGGTTATTGACTGGGCCCATAACCTGTTGAAAGTGAAGCTTGACGGACTAATGATGTTAGCATTAATATAATAAGTAATAACACGACAATATGATTATGTATAAGTATAATATATAATAACGTACAACTGGTCAATTAAACTGTGACTATACACACACACCGCGTACACTCGGTATGACAGCGTCTGTGCAAGTGAATATTACATACATCAAAGGCCCTATTTATATGAACAATCGAGGCCATCCCGTATCCGTATATAATATAGAAAGCGATAGTAAAGGTGTTACACAGCTATATCGTAACTGCATAAGTATCTATTAGAAAACGACATTGTACACGCACGTGTGTTTACATGGTTTGAATACTAATATTAATTGTATATTTCAACAATATTAATTATATAATCGTATATAGTAATTTTAAATAATAAACCAGTTTTTTGTTCATATATCTATAACTAGTATTAGTACATAGTATAAGGTATATGAATATATTACATAGTTATCTTACATTAAAATTGAATATCAATAAAAATTTGTTTACGACGTACCATACATTTGGGAAGTTTCACAGTTGTAAGCGGTTTCCATTTCACAGTTTGAAACGGATTCTATTTCATAGTTTGAAACAGTTTCCATTTCATAGTTTGAAACGGTTTCCATTTCACAGTTGTAAGCGGTTTCTATTTCACAGTTGTAAGCGGTTTCAATTTCATAGTTTGAAACGGTTTCAAATTTCACAGTTGAAACAGCCTGATCGTCAATTTGATAAATCACCTCGGGAGAAGACATCTCTGCCATATCCTTACGAAAGCTCCTATACTTATTGATTTTACTTTAAAATATTTATTTAAATATCGTAATATACTTTAACATACGTTGATATAAAAAATTCTTTTGAATGTTTGTTAAACTTTGTGGGAACTGAATTCGGTTTTAAAATGTTCAAAGTAGTCCCAGTTTTAAAGCAATCTTGGTCGAAATGTTGTGAACATAGTTTTCTAGAAGGCTTATAATCATCTTCAGTTAAACCACAAGCTGTAAGCCACAAAGATTGCCGGGATTGATCTTTGGGGAACCTAAACAATCAATATAAATTAAAAAAACCAAATATTTCATGTGATTAAATATATTATTAACAATTTTAAAAGGACATAAAATAATGCAATATGTATTTTAGAAAAGGTTTATGACTTACGAGTGTAAAGAGATGCTTGGATTTTTGTATTGCGTACTCAAACAAAATACACATGCAATAGTACATTTTTTTGGTGCCATTATCCCAAAAACAATTTTATAAATTAAAATAAAACAATAGAGTTAAAATAACTAACGTCAATGGCTGGTCATTCCAAAATTATTGTTGGAAAATTGGAATTCGAAATTCAAAATTATAATTTAATCTTATCAGTTCATATTTATCACATCATTGGGAAAAATATGTAACAGGTCTCGATCGCGCATTCGCGCATGCGCAGAAAGGTACAGACAACTGGCGACTTGTCGCTAACATGTACATGGTACATCAACATATTGAGCTGTGGCTCCATCCATTGTATATGATCTAAGATTGGAATGGGCAGGTCGTCCTCACCGCTGGACGTGAGTGGTATCTTGGGCTGGACGATGTCGTCGTCCTATGGGTCACCGCCCAAAATCCTCGCCTTGAAATTGTATCGCCGCAGTTCAGTGACCACCAACCTCGTACCGTTGCACAGTCGTCTCCTCGGATCGAGATTTCTGAGCAACATCACGATGCACCCCACCTTCAACTTCAGCTGGAACGGTGGCAGGCCGTCCGGTTCCAAAGAGTTGAGGAACTCTGTGGGGAAATTGGCCACTTCGTCGGCCCCGTCCACCTCCGCGGTGTCGACGGCCTGGTAGGTCTCCGGATTGCCGTCGACGCGCTTCAGCACGTCCGCGTTGACACCTCTGCACTCTTCGTTGGTGGGACACACGACGACTCTCCGAGCAAATTCTTCGACGTTGGCCAACGATTTTTACTGCTGGTACACGAAATCGATTAAATCGGCGACGTCGCATACCATTTCCTACGGGATTTGCACCGTGTCCGGAACGCCGTCGACCGCGGGCAGTTGTCCGTTGCCGTGCTGAAGCAACCAAGACGCAAAGTCCGCGTCGTTGCCCGCGCGCATGTTCTGGACCAGATTGAAGCTCTCCATGGTGTCCCAAAGATCGCTGTTCTTGATCGACGACATGTCGATCTCGGCTCTCGTCCCTCTCCGGATCACGGGCAATATCTGCCTGAAGTCGCCGGCGAACAGCATGGTTTTACCGCCGAACGGTAAATTCGAAACCATGACGTCCTTGAGCAGGCGGTCCACTAGCGTTAGTTGCAGTCCCGGCGACATGGGGGCTTCGTCCCAGACGATTAGAGCCGCGTTGCGTATCCTCTGCTCTCGCTCGGACTGCAAGCTGATGGTAGACGTCCTGCCTTCGGTCAACGTGCCGAACGGAAGTCCGACCGTTGAGTGCACGTTTTGGAGACGCCGGTTGAAGTCCTCCATCAGGTTAGCTTCGTTCCTCTCATACAACGCCAGCGGGTCTGACCGGCAGGCAGAACACCAGTATAGTGACGAACAGATACCGCAGTTGCCGCGGTGTGTCCACCAACGCCGATTCATCCAAACAATTCCGCCACGCTAGGTCGCCCTTCAATAGTCCGAGTGCAATCGCAGCCGCCGTGTATGTTCCGTGAACGACCCCGTCCACCGTCCTAATGTCTAGAAAAGACTGCGGGCCTCTTCGGTTCAGAAGTAGTAATCTCAAGTGGAAACGGTCCCAGTCCATTGGGTTCACTACGTACATCCGATCCAATGTAATGTTTGTCATCCGATTCACCCGCGGACGCCATTGTTTGACAATTTGTGACAGGTATAATGCATGGGTATGTCGTGGTACAAGTATTGTCGAGCCGCCACGTTGGTCGCGTTGAGCTCGAAGAACTGCATGAGTTTCGTGCGACGTACAGCTTGGTTCTGTAGTCGTTCTTCTTCTTGGCCCGGCGGAAAATACACGTTCTGATCATCCTCCAGGTGAACGGGAAGCCTGACGACCGTGTGACTTTTGCCGTGCAATTTGTACGAAGACAATCGCCAGACGGCTTCTGGCGGGCTGACGTATCTCGAGTTGACGTACCTAAAAAGGAATATTGAAAAGATTACTAACAATATATTGACTGGCTCAATATAAGATGATACCGCTTGGTGTTGTATTATTATTAATTTATTTTTTGTTCTGTAGACGCATATCATTGCATTGCAAATTGCAATGTAATATATTACAATGTTTAATAATTGTAATTTATTTTGAAGTGAAGTGAATTGAAACGTTTAACCATAGGTACTGAGAACTAATTTTTGAAAATTGTACGAAGACTTACAGTTCTTTAGTTTAACTGTTGGTGAACAGTACACCATTGGCGTGTCATTATTAACATGGAAAAATATTATGCACATGACAAAGAATCCCTACAACCATTGAATTGTAAATTTTGTAAAGTTTGGCGTACAATAAATGTGACTGATGTAGCTAAATTTTAATTAATATAAGTTTACAATTTGTAGACCACCTATTGAACTCTCTGTAGAATTACATAGTATAATATTAGGTACCTAAACAACACATTAAATATATACTTATATTAAAGTATAAAACATAAAGGTAAACTTAAAGGTAAACTTAATGGTGAATGTATACAACTGCAATATAAAGTAGTAAATAATTCATACACACTGAACACATCTAAATAAACGTATACAATCCACGATAACAATTATTATACCATACACATGTATAAATTATATATGTATATTTATATATTTATAATTGATGTGTAGTACTGTATGCAATAGAATGTTTAATGACCAACACATAAAATAATTATGTGGCTTGGGGCAAGATGGCACTCAAGATGACTACTTCACATTAGTTTTGAGTTAACTGTAACAAGTTAATAATCATAATTTTAAATATACATAATATAGTACTTAACCTATAAGTAAACATCTAGCATATTGTATTTTTTATTTTAAACTATATTGTATTTAATGTTTTGCAACTGAATAGTTCCTTCTGTTTGATTGGTGGTGTTAGCTATTTAGGTACTACCACCTACTAAATCTAAGTTAAAATATTATTAGTCCCACTTTTAAATTTTACTTTTTTTTTTTTAATTAGGGGTTAAGTTGAGTTTGTTTCAATTTGTTGAATACATGTTATGATCTTAACTCATAATTTGCATTTTTGCATTACGAATATTTTGATATGACTGTATGATTTATCATAGTCCTGAGCTTTTAAATTATGGTAAAATTTTAAAAGGCATTTGTCTAGCAGGTGTTCTATCACATTTTATAAATATTTGACCACAGTTACCTGTGCATTTCCTTTATAGTAGTAGTAATAAAGTCAATCAATTTCACTTCTACTCCTTTATTATTTACCTATTAATTATTATAGTTATTTTTTATTACTTACTTCTCAATTTAAGAAAATAACGATAATGTATTATAATAATGTTGCCATATCTTAATAATTAATGGTGAAATAGATATGTTTTAAACCTAATATGTACAATGTATATCTACATAATATTTAAATCCTGTTGTGGATCACTTCTAGTAAATTGGTAGATCACCCGTTATACAAATGCCTTTTATAGTGATTCATAATAATAGTAATATAAAATGAGGTGATTTAAGTCATGATATATTGAAATAGGTAAGTTGTTTGAATACATATTAGGTACCCTTTTGTTTTCAACAATATTCATATGTATATTGTTAAAATAACCTTAAAATAAAATATTATATAAATTTAAATTTGAAATATTTAGCTATTCATTGTCTTTCACTTTTAAATAATTTGAAATAATTTAAGTGGTTTGTAATATTGTAAATATAATATGGGGTAATATGTAGGATTTTCAATTTTTAATCAAGTTGTTTTTAATTAAATAACATAAGTGAAAAAACGTTGTACACTAACTATGAATTTAAAAAAATACAATATGCTAGATGTTTAATTATAGGTTAGGTACTATATTAT